TTCCCTGCCTAGTCCCAGCCTGTAGAACCCATCAGCCCAACCTGTCTTCTAGGTACCAAGCCCCAGAGCACCACCTTCCTGCCCAGGTAGGTCCATGCCCAGGGAATGGGAGAATGCCACCCCCCTCCCCGGAGCTGGGGGCTGCTCCAGGGCAGAGGCTGCCCTGGCAAGTATCTCATTATACACATCCCTCGTTTGGCTCCTGCAGTAACACTGGAAATTAGGAACCATTGCCCCCGTTTTCCAGAAGAGACTGAGGGAGGTGAGGGCGCTCCCTAGTAGGCAAAACCGTTTTGGTTTGATTTGATGTTGGGAGGGAAGGGGTTGCCAGGGGAATGTCTGATCCCTGCAGAGCGTGCAGAGAGGACGGGCTCCGGCCCCTTTCCTGTTTGCGCTGCTGCTGTACATTCTTCTCCTTCCTTCCACAGGATGGGCCTGCTGCTCCCACGCAGCGGCTTAGGCTCAGACTGTGCTGTCAGCAGTTGGCAGTTCGTGCTGCTGCGTACCTGTGTCAGGGTGTGGGCTTGTGTGTGCAGGTGCACCTGTGTGTGCTGTGTGTGCACATGTGTCCTGGTGTGCTGTTGTGTCCTACATTCTCTGCATTTGTCAGAATACGGACACCATGTGGGCGGGGCTTTGTGTGTGTTTACTGCGGCCTCATGTATTCATGAGATGAGTGAATGAATGTATGAGCCTTAGTCCGCAGGTTCCGAAGACCCCGGAGAACAGCCATACTTTGCCCTGAGGAAGTATGACAACTGGGGTCTCTGCCCCTCTGCAGGGAAAGGAGGTGGTGGCAGGTCAGCTCAAGAGGTGCCCTGGTGGCTGGGTCCTCCAGTGCTGTTAGTGTCCCCTCACACACTGCCACTCTTGGCCTGGGGTCCTTGCTCACCTGAAAGACCTCAGGAAAGAGGCTGGAGGCGGCTCCACTGGGACACAGGATGGGCTTGGCAGCTGGAATGCTCTACTAGGGCAGGTCCCAAAAGGCCAGGCGTGAAGACACTTGGCATTTCCTGCCCACTCTGGACCACCCGAGGCTCAGTGTGAGGGGAGAAGAGCTAGGGGCTGGGAATGGACTGAGTCTTCAAGGGGCTTCAGGACCTCTGTCTGCATGCACAGGACATTCAGCAGGACTTGCCCAGATAGCCATGCTGCTTATTATAATAAAATAGTAAAATATGTTATACCAGCTGATGGAAATCCCCCCAGCCCTGTGCCTGCCTGCCAGTCCACATGTGAGGGTCCTGCTCCAGCTCCAGCCTGACTCCCATTCCCATTGGTCAGTGTCCCTGCCAGTCAGCTCCCATCCCCTTCTGCATGCAGCTTCTGGGACACATCCTAGGCACCATCTCCAGACTCCCCAGGAAGCTGTGGGTAGGTGCCCTCATGGCCTCCCATGGGCCTGTCCTTTGAAGGGAAGTCCCTTGGCTAGGACCTTGGTGGCAGGGCTGGCAGCCTACAGAAGACCTAGTAGTACCTCAGCTGGGCCAGCAGCCCAGGAAGGAAGGCCAGAAGGGATGGAAGCCCCCAGGGGCTCAGGGCAGGTGTGGCTGCAGGGGCCACATTGGGGTTTGGAGAGATGGATCGGTGATGCCTCCCTGCCAGAACCCCACAGGCCTGGGGACAAGGGTGGTGTGGAAACTGGGTCATGTCCAGGTCAGAGTGAAGGGTCCAGCAGGCTTGGTGCTCACAGTGACCAGATCTCATGGAAGTCAGGGCCCCTAGTCTGACAACACGACACACACTGGGGGTGGCCCAGAAAATCTTAGACAGTGGGAAGAGGTGCAGCCAGGAGGACGGTCTTCAAAGTTAGACATGTGGGATTCCAATCCTGGCTCTGGCAGCACCTTCCAGCTGTGGGGTGTTGGGCAGGACAGACGTGCTAGAGGAAGCAGCTGCCCCCTCAGCAACTCTGGACATTTCCTCAGTCTTCTCTGACGCATTTTACAAACACAGTTTTGAACCCACACCAGTCTGTCCGGCCCAGGATGGCACAGGAAAATGAAGGTGGAGTTGGATTCAAACCCAGGCCCTTGGCTCCACAGCTGAGATAGTCCCTGGTGGCCTCCCTGGGGGTGGAGGCTGAGGGGCCTGCAAGGCCAGGCCAGGTCAGCCCAAACTATGAATACACCCTTCTGCTCCACGCCCTCTCCATCTGACAGGGGGTAGCCAAGACCACAGAGCTAGTCTACTGCTGACACCCGTCAGCTGGCCCATGTAGGGGGAGGTCAGCAGGCTCCCCACCCTCTCAAGACTTTCTGCCTCAGCCTCCCAGCCAACCCTGGGCATCCAGGCCTGACTCACCCCGACTGTAATCCACACCCTGTTGTCTGCTGCTGCCCCTCGAGGGGCTCTTGGCTTCCCGGTCCATCCCCAGCTCCCGTGTTCTTCCCACTGCCCAGGCCAAGAAGGGGCTGAGCAGGACAGACAGACAGGGAAGAAAGGGGCCCTGTCTCTAACCACAGGGGAGCTGTTCTGCAGTGCAACGTGGACAATGTGGAAGAGATCCCCGTCATTCTCCCATTAGCACTGCTTTTGTGCTGGGAATGCATGGGAGGTAGTATGACATAAGGGGGCTGGCAGCACGGACTCTGCAACCAGATGGCCAGGGTGTGCCACCTAGCTCCTCCTCTTAGCCACAGCAGAATGTGGAAGAAATTAACTTCTTGTTCTTCACTGTCCTCATCTGTAAAATGGGGATAACGTTGACCAGGTACCTCACAAGACTGTCAGTCATGCCAGTATAGAGACTGTGCTAGCCAAGAAGCACAGGTGCCTTCACCCAGCTGCCTCCCATGCATTCACTGAACCTTCCCAGGTCCTCCCTGGAAAACAGCACAGCTTCTGTGTTCTCTGCTGACAACCAGCACAAGGCAAGCGCCAAATGGGCTAATTTTTGCTTTTTTGCCCACTGATTTCTCTTGTTTCCATCATGAAAAGATAGCAAGGTTGGTGTGTTTGGAGGTTCTAGCTGCCACATTTTTTCCCAGTAGTTACGCACGTGTACTTGGGAAATGAGAACTAGATATCTGACAAAGCTTCCCCCTTTTTGCTTTGGCCACCAGGAAGCTCACACTCAAAATTATATATTCTTAATCCTAACTATGAGAGCTCAAGGCTGGCAACTGCTTTCATTCTGCATTCCAATTAGATTGACTGATGGTGTTGAGTTGAAAAGAAGTTGGAGGCTGCAATGAGCGATGTTGGCTGTAAGCATGGCCAGGGTACATCAGAGCTAAGAATGTGAGAACTGTGATCAGTTAGTGATGTCTGCTGTGAGTGTGGCCACAGAAAGCATACTATGTGCACAGCTTACGTTTGCCATCATGAGGGAATAACCTTATGGGCAATTCAGCTGTGTTTATTTCACCCAAGCCTACACTTTCTCATAAATTTACATTTTCCCTGTTATGTTTTATATTACATGTACTTCCCTTGTGAAATAAGGCAAGTTATGTGTATATACAGTGAGCTGGCCTGGCTTCACTAGGGGCCCCCAGTCCTCAGGCATGAGAAGCAGCTGCAGACAGAGTCTCTGGTTGTGGCAGAGAACAGCCCATGAGACCCTAAGCCTACATCAGCCCTGTGTGCTGGGCCTGGCACCTCCCGAAGGCCTGAAAGTGGGTGTGTCCTTGATCTCAACCACAGAAAGTCTCTTGCAAGGAATTAATTAGGTTCAGATCAAGAGTTGGGCTGAGCTGGGCGTGGTAGCTCATGATTTTAATCCTTGCACTTTGGGAAGCGAAGGCTATTGGATTGCTTGAGCTCAGAAGTTTGAGACCAGCCTGAGCAAGAGTGAGATCCAGTCTCTATTAAAATTAGAAAAACTAGCCAGGCGTTGTGGAAGGCACCTGTAGCCCCAGCTACTTAGGAGTCTGAAGCAAGGGGATTGCTTGAGCCCAAGAGTTTGAGGTTGCTGTGAGCTAAGATGCTAGGGCACTCTACCCAGGGCGACAAACGGAGACTCTGTCTCAACAAATAACAATAATAAAAATAAATTTTAAAAAATAGTTGGACTGTCCCTAACGTGTGCCTCCTCCTTGCTAAAGTCAAGGCTTTCTGGCCTGGGTCCTCCCATCCTCTCTCTCTTTGAGAGGCTAGCTGTGGCTACTTCTCACCAGGGCTTGAGAACCTTAAAGCAACATGATTCAGGAATCATCTCAGAGGACTGTGAAAAATGTAGATTCCTTGCCCTCATTCAAGTTTTGCAGCTTCAGAATCCCTGAGCTCTGGAATCTGCCTTTTCCTGAGAGCTCTGCTGGAGTGCAAGATCTGCAGGGCTGGGGCTGGTGTTTGGGTTCTGCGGGGCTCCCAGGCTGGGGCAGCAACGCCACCTGGTGGGTTCTTTGGAAACACCACTGTCCAGGGTCTGATTTGCCCTCCTACTGGCAGGCAAGTGTCTGCCCCCACATTCTCTCTTCTGCCAGGGACCTGGAGAAGTAAGGGGAGACAGCAGTGCATGTGCCCTCTGGGATTCATGACACAGGAGCAGGGTGTGCTGGGGCTCAGCTGTAGGAGCCATGCACAAGGAAGAGTTTCCTCGTATTTCATCTTAACAAGTCCCCTGAATTCTACACATTATTCTATCACATTTCTCTAGTAGGAAAATGTTTCCTTTCACAAATCCTTGCAAAAACAGATGTTCTAGAAAGAAGGGCAAGAGAGAAAATTATCCTGTGGTTTCACTCTCCTCCCCCATCCCACTTTTGAGCACTTTCTGCAGGCACCTGTCCCCTAGTCTCAGAAGCAGGAACGGAGAGGTATGATCTACACCTGTGTTAACACCAAAATCAAACCCCAGGCACCCCAGCAGCCAGGCAGGGCGCAGAGCCTGGCACATCACGTTCCTCATGCACTAGGCTGAAGAAGGCGCCCAGATGCTCTGGGGGACAGAAGCAAGGTGCCCACCACTGTCTCTAGCAGACTTGGCCACTCTGCTCACACCATCCTCTGCTTGGTCCTCCCCCGGCCCAGGAAATGGCATACCCATCATTTTAGGCTGGATTGTTACAAAGCCTCTTTAATAGTCAGTTGTAGAATCCTGAACATTTTTTACACAATTATGCACACAGAGCCCCCTCCCCACTTTCCCATAAGGCACAGCCTCAGCCACCCACTCCCCAGGGGCCAGAGGACAGTTTGCTGAGATAGGCCAGCCCAGCTTCTCCCAGGAGAAGGCACTCTCCTCCTCCTTTCCTCCTTCCTTGGAGAGCTCAGGATCCTGGAAAATGCAGGGCCAGCTCTCTGCCAGGCCCCCAGGGCCAGGCAAGATGCCATCACCTAGACCCTCTTCGGCTTAGCTCACTTAGGTGCTGCCCCCATGGCGTGGCCCAGGGTGATCTGAGCTGTCCAGATGGGGCTGCACCAGGCCTGGGGAATGGCTGCTGCCCCTAATGTCAGGTAAATCCTACCTTCAATAAAAATGTGAAAAAAAAAGACATAAGTGTCACAGCAAGAAAAAAGTTGACCCACCCAGTGGGTAGTCCCCTGATACCTCCCCCAATTTTTAGTACATGCTCCCCTATACAATACACACAGCCTCAATGGCAGGTACAGCCCAGCCCATGCCACAGGGGTGTTTCTCTGAGATGCTAAGAGAACCCTGGGAGGCAGTGAGTGGAGGGGCCACACAGCAGCCCTCACTCAAGGCTGGCAGCAGAAAGGCAGGGACAAAGGCCAGGCCCAGAATGCTCCCACTTCCCATCAGCACAAGGGCCCTTGGCAGTGAGGTGGGAGGTGGGCCTGGAGGAGGGGCCAGGGAGACCCCTGGGAACCCTGATGCCAGGGGATGGGGGAAGAGGTGGGGACAGCAGCTGCTTCAGTACTTGGGGACCTTGCTGTAGTCTTCAGAATGGACGTGCCGGCACAAGCAGATGGACAGGAGCATCCCCAGGACCTGTGGAGGGAGAGACAGAGAGTCAGTGGAGGCCCCACAGCCACCCTGTCATGCAGACATCAGAGGGAGGCCCAGAGAGGAGCAGTCTTGTCTCAGGTCACAGAGCAGGGCAGCGCTGAGGGCTGCTTGCCCCTGGGGCCTCACCCTCCCCGAGGAGATCAGCAGAGCAGAGACGATCCAGGAAGGCAGAGCACGAGGAGGGGCATGGGGGGAGGGGACTCAGACCTCGATGATGGTGATGCCCCCGCACACGCCGAGGATCATGCTCAGGTTCTCCTGCAGCCACGCTTGCACCTTCTTCATGCAGCCCTGCAGGGGGAGCATACAGCCATGTCACCCCACGCCGGGGCCCCTTCACCCAGAACCACCCAGAGGGGCCCCCAGCCCAGAGGGCTTGCAGTGAGGGCTCTGCATGTTCCTTGAATGAGTATGTTAACAAATATGTAGGCAGAGGTACAGCTGAAGAAGGAAGGAGGGACTGAGCAGTGGCTCGGTCCCGGCCCACAGCCATCCACTCACCTCCTGGTACACAGGCCAGTCCTCAGGGATGTTGCCGCTCTGGGTCTCGTTGCCGGGAGCCTTGCAGAAGCCCTTCCTTAGGAAGACGCTGTCATTGTCCTTCTTGTCTTCGCAGGAGCAGGGGTAGGTGACCTCAGTGTGATTCATGAGCTCTGCATTGTCTGTCCAGTTGTAGAAGTCGATCCAGCCACAGCACTTCACCTGGGAGAGGACAGGCTGCTTGTGCCCACTACCTGCCTTGGGCAGGCCACCCTCCTGGCAGAGGCCGGGCTTCTGTAGCACTCCTCAGATCTGCTACTCCCAGGCCCTCTGGCTCCAGCCAAACCCACCAGGGTTAGCATTTGGGTTTTATTTTGGCTTCTATGAGCCACAAGGGATTTTAAAGTGGCTCTCAGGAAACATACCATAAATGACAAATATAGTAGAAGCAAATATCAGGACCAACAAAATACAAAATGGAGTAGGAGGGGAGTTCAAGTTGAAAGGGCACGGGTGTTAAGGCTGAGAACAGTGGTTCATGCCTGTAATCCTAGCACTCTGGGAGGCCAAAGTGGGTGGATTGCCTGAGTTCACAGGTTCGACCAGCCTGTGACAGAACAAGACCTCGTCTCTAAAAATAGCCAGGTGTTGTGGCGGGTGCCTTTAGTCCCAGCTACTTGGGAGGCTGAGGCAAGAGAATCATTTGAGACCAAGAATTTGAGGTTGCTGTGAGCTATGATGTCACAGCACTCTACGAAGGGCGACAAAGTGAGACTCTGTCTGAAAAAAAAAAGAAAGGGCACAGGCACACTGGACACAGGAGAGCAAACAGCATACAGTTAAAACTGTGGGGGTTAAAGTCAGGCTGCTGGGTTCAAATCCAAGCTCTGCCACCTTCCAGCTGAGCAACATTGGACAAGGGACTGACCTCAGTTTATTCATCTGCAAAATGGGGACAACAAAATTTCCTAACTCGCAGGGATGCTGGACAGACTGAATGGATGAGCAGGCAGAGTGTCCAGCACAGTATGGGAGAGCACAGTAAGAGCTCAGTAAAGTCAGTTCTACTTTCAACTGTGACATGAGCAGGAGTTAAGATTTGGTTCTGAAAAAAGGAGACATGTTTATTCTGCTATTTTAAAGGAGAAAATGCTCTAGTTCCAGATGAAGGAAAGCATTTCTGGGCTCTGTACTAATCTACCTGCACTAATAGATACTGTGCCAGGGTCCCTGGGAGGATTAAATGGGACAGCAATGGTACCCAGCAGGGGTCAGCTGGGGGAACAGCTTCCTTCCCACCTCAGGGTGTTAAGTTCCAGGCCAGAAGCCTTTGGCCAGCAGGGGGCGCGCCAGGCCCAGTTAGGGCTCAGGAGCAACCTGGCTCCAGGCAGTTTCTGATCCAGGCTTTATTTCTAGCAGCCTGCCTGCCTCCTCTCTGGCAGGAAAAGCTGGCACCTCTGAGGGACACAGGGATCTTCAGGGCTGGGGGCATCACCACACCTGAGCAGAAGGAGGCAGCTCTTCTTGGCCCTTCTATGGCACTGGGCAGTGGCCTCCTTCCAGGAGCACTTTGCCCTGATCCCTGCTGCACTGTGTCCCCAACAGCATAGGAGAGCAAACAGTTAAAACTATGAGGTTTAAAGTCAGGCTGGTGCTTGGGCAGTGCCTACTATGTGTCACATTGGTGGTGATGTTTTACTCACCGTGCACAACATGGGGACACAGGCTGGAGAGCTCCTCCTTCCAGGAGCACCTTGCCCTGATCCCTGCTGCACTATGTCCCCAGCAGCACACACTAGCTCCAGCCTGTATCTCCCTCAACGGTGGCACTGGTTGGCCTGGGTTGTCCAGATGCCTCCAATCTCAGCAAAGTCTCATCAGTTTTGAGTCAAACTACAAATGTGACAGAAACGTCTCTCTGCCATAGGCCCTATATCTCTGATCTCCTCTGTCAGGGCCAAAAAACATCACCCTGCCCTTTACCAGCTTGGAAAATGGCCACGTTCCTGTCACCTGGACAGAGCGTCCTATCTCCAATGTCCAGAGTTTCCTGGTGTTGTGGAGTTGGGCTTCTTCCTACTGCCCTAATCCTGTTCCTCTCACCCTCCCCCCAGGTGCTAGCAGGCCCTAAGTGGCTACTGTTTCTAGTGACCTCACAGGAGAGAGGAGGAGACTCTAGCCCAGAGAGGATGGGCCCTAGCCATAGGCATATACAACATCTGGGCCACAAGAAAATAGAGCTAGGACCTGATCACTGAAGTCCATTTGTGTGGGGGTTCATCCTAGGCTGGGAACCCGGTCAATCCATCCATCCATTCATCCGTCTCTCACATTAATCAAGGTATAACACCTATACACTAATGTGCACAAATTCAGCTTGGTGAATTTTTACATATGTGCACACACTAGTGTAATCACCATCCAGGTCAACTGGGGTAGAACATTCCCCTCATCCCAGTTTCCCTTGGTGCCTCCCCAGCCACCCTCCCCCAAGGGCAGCCTCTACTCAGACTTCTCTTCGCACAGCAGCCTTGGCACCCAGTTTCTGAGCCTGGGGTAGAGCTCTTGACACCCATGGGACTGGCTCGAGATGAATGAGAGGGTCAACAGCTGCCCCCACGCCCCCTACCCCAGGCCACAGAGGGGAACACCATGAGCTGTGGAGCTAATTCTGAGTCTCTGGGCCCCCTGAGCAGGGGTCTGTGGTGCTGGCTGGGGGCGCTGGGAGAGGGGGCTTCTCAGGCCTCCCCCGCCCCCAACAGAAACAGACCCTCTCCACTAGGCACACCTAGGCACCATGGACACCAGTCCCAGACACATGGGACATGCAGCCAGAACCCCAACGCTGCCCCAGGCCTCACCTGGGCCTGCACGTAGTCCCAGGCCTCCTGCAGGCTGTCCTCGTGGCTGCTGTTATAGTTCCGAATAAGGTTGGCCACGATGCTGCCCATCTCCTGCTTCAGCTGTGGGGAGGCAAGGATCAGGGTCAGACTTCCTGAAACGCGTGCTCCACTTCTGGTCACCCACTCAGATGGCCTTCCTTGGTCCTTCCCAACATGCTTTGGGACACACCTACAGCTCCACCCTCTTTCCTGGAGCTCCCTGGGTGCTCAATGCAGTCAGTGCCAACCACCGTGCCCTCAGTCTATTCTGCATTCTGCAGCTGCCTGGCCCCATAAACACCCATGTTTTCCCACGTCACTGCTGAAAACTTTCTCCTGGCCCTCCCCACTCTCAGGAAAAACCCCTACATCTTCTCAATGGCCCACAAGGCCCTACACCTTTTGTCCCTGCTCTTCCAAGGCCCCATTTCCTCTGTTCTTATCCCCTGTGCTTCAGTTGCACAGGTATCCTTGTTGTCTCCATGCCAGGCATGCTCCTGCCTCAGGGCCTTTGCACTTGCTGTTCCCTCTGCTCTTCCCAAAGATATTAGTATGTCTTACTCCTCTGCTTCTTACAAAGTTCTGCTCAGATGTCAGAAATGCCTTCCAGGACCATTCTATAAAATATCAGCCCTCTCCATCCCCTTCCCCACCAACCTTAGACCACCCCTCATCCAGCAAGGGTGAGCATGCCATGAGTTTTTCTTCAAAGCACTGATGTTCAAGCTCATTGGTGTTCATGCTCACTAGCGTGTCAGCTCCGTGGGGGAAGGGACCGAATCTGGCTTGTTTGCTACAGACAGAGACAAATACACCAGAGTCCCAGTGGCTAGTGGGAAGCCCAGCACAGAGCCGGTGTGCAGAGCACAGAATAACAAATGTGTGTGTCACACTAAAGCCGTACTCATGCACCCTTCAGGTTAAGCTTCATGCCTCACAGAGAGCAGGGCCATTCTAACCCATCTGACAGGGAAGGAGGGACAGAGAGGGAGAGCTCGGCCACCTTCCTTTTGGCATGGATTGGGGTGTAGCCTCTCAGATCAGGTTCCCAAGACTGCATGGCAGACAGACACCTGGAGGGGGCCCCAAGATAGGCGGGCCTGGAGCCTTAGCTGGTCAAATGGGCCTCCTTCCCCCTACCCACACCCCTCAGCCAGCAGCACCAGTTGGAGTGTGAGGTCTAGGTCTGCTGCCTCTCTGTGACCTCGCCACATGTCCTGGGCTCCATAGAATCTACACCTTCACTGTGCTGGCCCCCTACTCTGATCAGGAATTCAGGGTCCCTTGTGGTGGTAGAGCAAGGCCCTGCTTTTCACTGGCCCCATAGAGAGAATGCTGATGGGCAAAGAAGACCTGTGAGGGCTTCAGGGAACACAAGGATTTGGCTCCTGGGACCTGAAGAGGATCCCGCTACAGCAGAGACTCAGGAACACATCAGCTGTGCTCAGGGAGACAAACCTGAGACCAGCCTCGCAGGCTGAGGAGGGGGGCTCCCTCAGCCAGGACACCTGGCTCCAGGTGGGAGTGGGGACCTCTGAGAGCCAGCCCAGCCTGGCCTCACTTGGCCTCTCTGGGGACCTTGCCCTGAGGCCTTCCTGGGCACACAGCACAGATATGGCCAGTTGGGGTCACCTGTTGTTGCTGTAGTGAGCCTCAGGGTAAGCAACGCCAGGGGGCAGGGAGGTCAAGGTGAAGGCCACATACCTGTCCCCCTTGGTTCCTGAGAAAGAGGAAGTGAGAGCAGAGGGACAGGTGTTCCAGGCAGGGATCTCAGGGCCTGGCTCTAAGGGAACACTGTGAGTGGGGCGGCCCTCATAGGCTGTTCTCAGAAGACTCAGTACATCCCATGGGCCTGGACCCATGGTCCTGGCTCCCTGCACACACCCTCAACAAACACTGGGAAACCAGCCCCCTAGGGCTGCTCTCCACACTCCTGCCACGTGGTGAAGTTCTTAGCATCACACTTTAAAAAACAAAAATACCCCACCTTGAACAGAGTTCTACAATTTACAAAGCTTTCCTGTCAGTAATTAATCACAATACTTAATAGTGGCTTCACTTTCATCAAATGCTTACTATGCACCAGGCGCTGTGGTGAGCGCTTTTAATGTACCATGTCAATTTTACTGCTCACAGCAGATCTAGGGCCTAGGTATTGACCCTATTCCCTCATTACAGAGACTCAGAAAACAAGCCCAGACAGGGTAATTAACTTGCCAGGGTTATATAGCCAACACATGGAAGAACTGAGGTTTGGATCCAGGCTTGATCCAAGTTTTTACCCACTAAGCTTATCAGCACTGAAACCACACTGCCATACCTGAAGTAGATCAGAGCAGTTTTAACGGAGGCTCAGAAAAGCTAAATGACTTGTCCAAGTCACACAGCGGGCTGTCTGCCTGCAGATGTTAGGTCTTTCTGTCTGACCCCTCAGCTCCACCCCGGCCCCCAGTAGGTGGACAAACCCTGTGGCATGAGGGATGGGGGTCCCCAGAAGCATCTGTGCAGAAAGCCACCTCTCCCACATCCTTCCCCACCTACCAAGCTCCCTCTCAACAGACCGCCCTCGGACTCTATTTATACCCTGTGCAGTTGCCACAACGGCCTGGACTTCCCTGTTTCCGTCCCCTAAAATGAGAAGGTAACGGAAGCCGGGTGGTTTCCACCGAGTCGGGGTGGTTTCCATGGAAACACCACATCATCCTCCAGTGCAGAATGTGGCTGAGGGACACAGCTGGACCACAGGGACTGCTTCAGCTCAGAGCTGATACTCTGGGACCTGAATGCCCAGGAGTCTGATAGCCCAGAGAGGTCACCCTGGCCACCAGGTAGCTACCGAGGCAAAAGAGCAGAGTGGCATGAGCAGACGTCATGATTTCACTACAGCCCTGTGGGGGCTGCTCGGCTGTTTCCGCCGGCCCTGTGCCCGTTCTCTTTCTCCTAAAATAGCAGTCCTGTTCCTTGGGGATAACCACTCCTCAATCAATCCATAGCTGGGGGAGGCCCTGCTACCATGGACTGTCCACACCCTGGGCATGATGACTGGCTCAGGGATGGGCTCTGCTCACTAAACAGAGTCTGGATAAACAATCATATGAGGCTCCTAACTTGGCACCCAAATCCAGGTCCCCGCAGCCCTTGCTGGTACGAAGGGCTGACAACAGGAACAGCTGTCGTGTACTGAGCTGTTACCAGGCACTAACGAGGTTAATAACGGTGGCAGGACTAATAAACACTTAAAATGCTGCCAGCAACATCTGCTTGGTCCAGGGGCACAGTATGCCCTTCCCATATGCTAGCACTCTCCATCTTTGCCACAGGGCTACGGGGCAGCCCCTGGGGGCCCCAGCACTGAGAAGTATTCAGGGTTTAGAAAGCATCCTGCCATCACTCAGATTCATACTTCCTGAGGGGCATCTGAGTGGGAAAAGGCAGCAAAGACTAGAAACAGCTCCTTCCACTCAGATTCTGTTTTATCAGCAAATGAGTTTCTAGCACGACTTTTGGTTTTCAGAGCATTTTTCTGGATTTCAGAATTACAGATAAGGAGCAGTGGGCCTGTAGCATTACTACCAAATGAGGAAACCGAGGCATGGGGAGGCTTCGTAACTTGCTCAAGATCTCAGAAAAAGGCTCGGTGCCTGTGGCTCAAGTGGCTAAGGCACTAGCCACATACACCTAAGGTGGCGGGTTCAAATGCCACCCGGGCCCGCCAAACAACAATGATGGCTGCAACCAAAAAAAAATAGCCAGGCATTGTGGTGGGCGCCTGTGGTCCCAGCTACTTGGGAGGCAGAGGCAGGAGACTCACTTGAGCCCAGGAGTTGGAGGTTGCTGTGAGCTATGCCACGGCACTCTACCCAGGGGGACGGCTTGAGGCTCTGTCTCAAAAAAAAAAAGATCTCAGAAAAAGTGGTTCTGGAGTGAAGGCCGTAGGCCACCTCTCTATACCTTAAGTGTCAAAATCCGTTCCTCCTTCAAAGTTAGGCAGGGGCAGAGGCAGGGGCAGTGGTTAGGCAGGTTTATTATTCTCAATTTAAAGCGGAGCCCAAGGCTGGAGAGGCCATGTGCCTTGCCCAGGACCTCCAGCCTCCTCATCGCTGCCCTGGGGACAGTGGCTGCAGGAGTAGGGGCAGGAAGGAAAGCCCTGGAGAACACCATAGGGGCAGCCCAGTGGCCCATCTCCTTTCAAAAGGCCTTTATCCTGGAGACTCAAACAAGTCCCACCTCCCCAGCTGGGCCCATTTGCAGGAATAAACACCATTAAGGGTATGTTTAGTCTTCGCTGAAATTTACAATGTGCTGGGAAAGAAAAAAATAAATCATTCATTCCAACTCAGGCAATATAGTGGCACCAGAACTTCCCCAGGAAATTTCCAGGCAGTCTGGAATGAGGAGGGGGGGGTGAGGTGTAGAGCCTGGTGGAAGATGGGAAAGATAGGGGAGGGGATGGGAAGGTACGACATGCAGAGTCTGGACTGGAGTCAGAAGGCCCTATTCTCCATGTAAGTCCTGTCCTGGGGCTGGTGGGACACTCTGAGGCTTAGCTTGTTTGTCATTGTCAGCTAGGCAGAGACTCTACCAGCCCCTTGGAGCAGCGTGGTGTGGAGGGAGGCACTGGCTATGGGTCAGAAGGATCCAGAAGGACACCTCATTCTGATGCATCAGAACTGTATATGACCACAGCCAAAAGTCACTCTGCTTTTCTGGCCCTCAGTTTCTTAAAATGGAAAATGCTTATAAAATTGAAATGTGTGCTTCAGCCCACATCTCTAGCTCAGTTCCTGGCACATGGTTGGTGCCTACCCAGTGGGTGTCATTTTTATTACCGTGGGATGGTAGCTCTCAGGAGGTGAGAAGGTAGACTGCCTGAGACCCTGACAGAGGCAACCAGCTTCTGAGTCATAGGAACCAGCTTACTGGGATCTGGTTCTAATCTACCCTGATCCAGCCCCAGGTACCCTGGGGCAGAAATAAGATCTGATCCTACAATCTTTTTGCTAGGAAAGAAATTTCCCTCCCCTAATAACTGACTTCCTGTTTCATAGCCAAATGAGCTTCCTTTCACCTACTGAATCCACTATTTCCCCTTTTGCCTTGACTGCCAGAAAGCTCAGTACTCAAGTTAAATCTAGTTAAATCTAGGCTGCCAAGAGTATCTTAGCCTCTGTTTTCAGGAACAATGGTCTTCCTCCCTCAGTGTATGTTCTGTGCTCTCTCTTGCTATCTCATTTTGATTTTAGTTACCCTGTGCCTATGATGGGAACCAGTTCCAATTCTCCTAGGAAATAAGTTGGGTGCAAATTATAAAAAGGTAGAACAGATTCAGGTTGCACTACCACAATGAAAATTTAGAAGCCAGGCTGCCGAGGCTCTGCCCCTTATGCCTGCAGGAGCTTGGGCAAGCTGCTTGATCTCCCTAAACCTCAGCTTCCACATCTCAAAATGGGGGTATCAATACCCACAATCTCACAGGACCCTTCATATAATTAAATATACGTTCAGAGCACTTAGAGTGAGGCTTGCTCTAAGTTCTATTAAGCGCCAATTTTTGATGTTAATATAATGTTTTCTCAACCTCCTTTTAAGAGGGATCTGAGGCAACTTGACCTTCCAGTGGTAAAATTCAGGAGTCCATCTGGCCGCTAGCTCTGGCCCCTCCACTGCTGGAAATGGGCTGGTAGCAATGGAGGGAAACTGGGCCCCAGGGCTCAGTTGGGACATGGCCCATGTGCAGCAGGTTCTGGGGAAAGGTAAATGCCAGCTTTGGAGCCAGAGAGCCTTAGCCCTTTGTCTGCAGGATGGGGATCCTCACATGACCTCAAGAGAGCCTAGTAAGGGTCAGTGAGAGCATGAAAATAAGCAGCCAATGTTGTACTTGGTATATGATGCCCGTCAAATCACGTGTAGCAATAGTAGGGCTCACAGTCACTATTACTGATGTTGTTCTGTGAGTCACCTCTGGGCATCTGCTTCTCCATCTGTCAACATAAAACTTAACCTGCTGAGCCACTGTGAGCACAAAATAATGTATATACAGCTTCTAGGAGATACCATGTACACAGAGTAGGTGCTCCATATGTGATAACTGTGATGGTCACAATTGACTGTCTTACCCAACAGCCAGTTCCAACTCCTTCCTCTCTTGTGTCTCTGTCTTCAGAATCTGAGAGCTGGATGCTCACCTTCTCAGCCTCCCTTGCAGACAGGGGTGCCTCTGTAACCCAGCCTGGGCAGGGCTGTTGGAGGGCTTGCTTTTCTGATTTAAAAAGATGGTTATGGCTGGCACTGCCCACTTTCCTTCTGACCACAGAGTATAGATGTTGTCCCTGGTGCTATGGCAGCCATTTTGTAACCATGAGGCAAGGGTGCATAATGCAGAAAAGCCATCACTGTGAGGATGCTGGACAGAGGCCAGAACCAGGTCTCTGAGCTTCCAAACTACACTCTGACCAAGTCAACAACAGATGCCTCTAGAGTTAAAGCCACAGTAAGCCTGATTTTCTATTTCTGAAAGCTGAACACCTCCCTCTGACACAGAACTGATGATTTTTATCAATATTCTCCTCATGGGCCTCATCTCTGGAGGACTTAATATTTGCTAAAGTATCTTAATAAGAAGAATGACAAACATTTATCGAGTGCTTATGGTGCTCCACACTGTGCTAAGTGTTTTACTAAGTCAGACTCTTGAAGAGTCCTTGCAACCACCCAAGGGTGAAGTGGTACTGTTATCCAGTTTTACAGATGGAGAAACAGGCGCACAAAGGCAAGCAACTTGCCCAAGGCTGCACAGCTGGAAAGTGTGAGTGGCGGTGGGGGTGTCGAACAACCAAGAGTCAGGCATGGCAGAGATCCTGCCCGCACCTGTCGCTTCCTCCTCTGACATTCAGGTTCACAAAACCAGCAGTCAATGAGTCTGTCTCTGGCACCCACTGGGTCTGTCTATGACAACTGAGAGGCTTCTTGTCCAGCACTGACACCCAGGGTCTGTCCCCCAGGTGACCAGTCCGGTCCAGTGAGGGGCGGGGGGAGGAAGAGGGAGCTTACCTTGCCCATGTTGAGGTAGAAGAGGATCCCGGCAGTCACCTGGGCAATGAGGATCAGAAGAAGGAAGGCAAAGTACTGCGGACACAGAGCAGGCCAAGCGTCAGACATGACCCCACCAGCTGCACCCATCCCACTCGTCCTACATGTTCTTTGCCCAAAGTCTGGGCAAGCACAGTGCTCAGGCCTGCTTGGCTGGGTAAGGGTGCGGGCAGGCAGTGGCTGAGGGGGGGGGGGCGGTGGGCAGGGTGTCATACTCACCAGCCCCAGCAGGCAGCGGACCTCATTGACGGCACCGATGCAGCCCAGGAAGCCCATGAGCATGGTGACTGCTCCCACACCAATGAAGATGTAGGCCCCCACATTGAGGGAGCTGGAAGAGGTCTCTAGGGGAGAGGCAGGAGAAGGGCATCCACTCAAAAAGTACAAAATCATTAGGTACAAAATCAGTGGGCCCAGCAGGTGCACACGCCTGGCCTAACCATCTGGTGTGCTCCCCAATCCGTTCTTTGGAGCCAGGGTGCTGGGGTCAGCCATGTTTCCATGCTAGCCCCTCATCCCTCTTTGGAAGCCTCCTTAGCTGGGTGTCCCCCTCCTCGATGGAAAATTGCAGCCCTCTTCCTGATCCAGCCCACCTTCCATCCCTGCTTTACTATTTCTCCTTAGCACTTGGGAGGACTGAAGACTCTATTTTACTGATTTTTCTTGCTCATTGTCTGCCCCCACCCCAGGAAGGCGAGCTGCACCAGGGCAGGGGCTTCAGTTTATTCCTGCTGAGCCCTGAGCTCACAGAGCAGCACCTGGCCCAGTGAGGTGCTGCCTACAGTGAATGAACATCAGCAGAACTGACCGACAACCAGCCTGTTACAATTCCAGGCTGATGTTTGCTCTTCCTGCTTTTGTGTCCATATAATCACAAACCCCAGCCTCTCTTGCCATGATCAGGGTCTTCACACATGTTACCCCTACCACAGACATAACCCTGCCTGGCAGGCACTAGCATGGCCATTTCCCAGAGGAGGAAACTGAGGCTCAGAAAGGTACATGGGCAGGGGCCAGAGCTGGGATTTGGAAATATGCAACCCTCCAATGCTATGCTTTTTCCTCTGATGCTGTGACACTCACCCTTTCACTCAGCCAACAGAGACTTACTGCGTGCCCACCTCGTGCTGGGCACTGCAGCCCTTGCTGGGGACACAGAAGTGAGGCTGACAAGGTCTGACATTTGGCATGGGGTTGGGAAGATACCTACATAATACAAGCTTTCCAGTTGTATTAGGGGCCAGGAAGATACTGAAGCTGCTAACAGTGCAGAGAAGGACGGGGCACGGGCGGGGGGTGTGTGTGTCGGGGGGTGGTCAGGAAAGCTGGCCTGAGCAGGTGCTGCTGGAACTGAGACATGAACGGAGAAGTTAACAAGTGGAGACCCAGGGAGAAGCACGCCACGGTGGGCACAGCAGGTACAAAGGGCTACAGAGGGAGTGGGCTCAGTGCATTTGAGGAGTGGAAAGAAGACGAGGAAGAATGTGCCCGGAGTGAGAGAGAGAGCAGTGCAGTAGGCAAGGAGGATGCTCGGGGCTCTCAGGGAGGGGCCTGAGAGCCAAGATCCTCTTCACAGTGGGTGGAGGTCAGAACCCCTGTCAGGCCACACGACCAGCATTTCCTGAGAAGCTCAACTGACTGCACAGGGCAAAGCCCATGTTGTCCCCAGCTCACAGGTATGAGACACGCTCTTCCCCCAGTGCTCTGGGAGACCAGGCATTGTTTCCAGAAGGCTGGAGAACAGTGCAGGTCAGGGAAAGCTCCTAGGAGCATAGATCCCCACCTCCATCAAAATTGGACAAAGACTCTTTCAGTAGAAGGCCAAGAATCTTAATTTTTAACCTGCTCCCCAGGGAAGACCCTTGTCGCAGGGAGAACACAGTCCTGGAAAGCTATGACCCCTGGGAACCTCAGAGAAGTGGAGGGCCCTACCTTGGCCTCACTGGGTATTAGCACCCTTAACATATAAATACAAAGCTAGAGGGTGGGTGGCTACAGGATCCAGTTCCACTTCCTGGTCACAAAATGTTCTGGAGCTCAGAAAGAGCTCTGGCTCACCCACCCCACTCTTAGACCATCCCTGCCCAGCTCCCATAAAGCCAGGCCAAGCCCCCACAGGGTGAGTGTGGGGGCCTCTGCAGCCCAGCCTGGCCTTCTCCCACCAGGTCCCTTGGCTCTCAGCTCTCAGTGTGGGCAGGGAGAGGCCATCGGTTCCACTTTTCCTAAACTTCCTGGGTTTGGCTTCCAACAATTCCTCCCAGTGACTACTCCCAGAAAAAAGAAACTGGCACTGCCCAGAAAGCCCCTGTGTGCCAGCCGCAAACAAGGCCCTTTATCCAGATCATCCTACTTAATTTCAGCAGCAGCCCTCTGAGGCTGCTTTCACATCCCACTTTGTCTGCAGGGACCCTGAGGCTCAGAGAGGCTAAGAGGCTGCGAGATGCCCAGCAGGCCAGGCCCAGACCCCAACTCAGGGCCCATAGCTGAGGCCAGCTGAGTTGTGAGGTCTCCACTTCTCAGAACATTTCACTCATAGTAGTCTCTGTCCACGTCCGGGGTCCCAGGCATACCCCAAATCTGAGCAACCTTAGGAAGAGGGCAAGTCTATGTCCCACGGTAGCCCATCCACTGTGCGCCAGAACAACCCTTCAATCCTCCTGGGCCTGGCAGGGACTAGGGAGTGGCCCAAACTGAGAGGGGCTAGGGGCTAAGAGAAGTGGGTTTCCACCCCAGCTGTGCTGCTAACATGCTCCCACCCAGGCAAACCATTTCTGTTTTTTAGTTCCTATAAAATGGGACTAAGTCCTGCTTCTTCAAGTTGTTATAAAGATTAAAATAGTATTTTAGAACTTAAACAGTTGCCTATGCACTATTTACTAGGAGCGGTCCTAAGCTCCTTCCAGATAGAAATGGAGGATTTAACTTCCCACGGTAACCTTATGAGGCACATTCTATTATTATTGCTATTTTGTGAGTGAGGAGGCAAAGAGAGGTGAAGTAACATCCCCAGAGTCACAGTAATGGGCAACACAGACATGACTTGAACCCCAGTGGTCTGGGTCGAGTTTACTTTTCACCAAGGTACTAGCCAGTGGCATACTGCAGAGCCACTGATACGGGGGTCAAAGCATGGGCTGGGGCACCAGGCCACTTGGTCTGCATCCCAGCTGCCCTACCTGCTAGCTGTGTGCCCCTGGATAAATTGCTTTAGCTCCCCTGAAAATCGAGACTAGTAATGCCCAGCCCCATGACTCGCAGTGGCAACTCACAGGTAAGGAAAGTGTGTGTCGCACGTAACGGGTCAGGGGCCCTGGTTCCCGGCTCTGACCTTTGCTGGCTGTGTGTCTTGTCAACACATTCTCCACTACCTCCAGCCTCAGTTTATCCAAGTGCATAGTAACTGGGTTCCAAATCAGAGCTTCTGAACCCCTGCCACCTAGGGAATCACCTGGGGAAATTTTGACAAACACCAGCACTCAGGCCCCCACCTGCACTAAGGGAGTCAGGTCCCTTGGAGTGAGAGGGGCTCATAGTATTTGCAAAAAGCACCTCTGCTGCACCAAGTAAGCCTTTGAGGTCTGGCCAGATTCTCAGACCTAAACAGGAAGGCGGCTGGGGTTACAGCAGGACACCCCCATCCCAGTCCTGGGGCAGAGCACAGAGGGCAGAAATGCAGGTAGATGGGCTGGGCCTCTAGACTTTGCCCTGGGGCGTAGTGCCTGCTGGGTGTGGGTGATGGCCCAGGAAGGGGGGGCCTATTCCTAATCAAGGCTGAGGGTGTGTCCCATGTTGGAAAGGCATGGGGAGCATGGGTCCCCCACCCACCCTAACCCCAGAAGAGGCAGGAACTGATAGCCCAGGGTACATCGGATGTGGCTAGAGGGTGGATCATCCTTGTTTCCCAACTCAGTGGGGAGGCCCAGGCCCCTAGGGGCGAGGGTGACAGATGTGGTCCCTCCATCACCACATCCTAGCCAGGTTCCGTTTTATTCAAATCAAGCAGCTGCCATGGGCCAGAGTCCAAAGCAGCTGCCTTGGGCAGCTGCTGGGAGGGGAAGTGCGCCAAGGCCGCACTCAGTGACGAGCAGGCACAGCTGTGCTCCTCGGAGCCTCTGCTAGGCTCCCCCACCCCAGGCAGCTCCCATGGGGTCAGCACAGCAAGTCCAGAAGGCTTCCTGGAGGAAGCTAAGTAGATGCAGAGGGCCTGTGATCCATGTTAGAAATGCCTCGGGCTCCTTGCCTCCAGCCTCTAAAGAGAGAGAGGGGGCTTCCACAATGAGGCTCACCCTGGCATGTACTTCATTTAGGACCAAAGCTCTAGGGGTTTGATCCAGCAAGTGACTTAACTTCTCTGAGCCTCTGCGTCTCCATTGATAAGGCAGGAATAGAATATTATCTACGTTACAGGGCTTTTGTGGGATTAAGACCATTGATACATGCAAATGCTTGTAACAGGACAAGCCTGATAAAGGGCAGCTGTGCCCAGTCCCCTGCTCATGGCACACCTGCCTGACCTTCCTAGCACTGCTTGGTTCACAGCAGGTGCTTTGGCCAGAACCTGAAAATCTACCTTCTCTGGCTCTCCCCTACATCTCTCTGAAATGGGAAGGGGTGTGACTGATGCCCATATTCGGCTGAATGGGCAAATGAAGAAACAGAATTTAAGAGGCTTTCCCAAGGTCAGGGCCAAGGGAAGGGGCCAGGAAGGGAAACAAGCCTCCCTCATCCCCCAGTGTTCTCCAGACAACAGCAGCTTTGTTTGGGGAAGAACAAAAAATTTCTTCTGGAAACCCCTGCCTCGGGGACCCATGGTGCAGTGGTCAGCAACAGGACCTGGCTGAGTTCCTGAGGTTAGCTGGAAAAACGACAGGCATTGAAGCTAAAGTACTGGTAAGATGGCTTTGCCCACAGCCCTGATCCTCCCCTCTATAGTGGGTCGGAGTATGGGGAAGCAGAGGGTCCTTACTCAGGACGGAGATGAAACTGCTCCTGTCGGCCAGGATCCACACCCCAAAGCCTAGGATCACTGCGCCCAGGATCTGGAAGGAGAAGGGGACAGTTAATGGGGATCCCAGGAGCAGGGGGGTTGAGAGCCCCTCCCCAGCTATGCCTGTGGCCCAGGCCAAGAAGGGAAGGGTTAGGGGGACACAGAGGGAGCCACCCTCTCCTTCTCTAGCCCAGCAATGTCAAGATGACCTTAGGGCCCAAACCCTCAATCTGGATGGCAGGCCCACATGTTGGGGATCCCTCCTGCCTCCTCTCCCCCCTCACCACACAAGGTTCCACCCCAGTTTCCTGGTGTAGCCTGCTACTAGGGCACCTTTCTTGTGCCTACACCTCTCTTCCAGCCTGGGGGTTTCCCTAAGAAGCCGTGGTCTGGGGAAGACTCTCCATAGACTTGAACATCAAAGCTCACCTTGACTTTGGGTCTTGGTGACAGGAGATATCCTTACTCCCCTCAGTGTATAAAGGGGCTCGCCCCCATTCTGTGGCGACCACTGCCATCTGAACAGCCATTCCCACTAGCCTTTCTGCTGTGTTCATTTCTCTAGCTCAACTGTGAGCTCCTGAGGGCAGGATTGTATCCCTGGAAGTCCCATAATGCTAGACAGCTGAAGGAAGGAACGAGCTCATGAACCAAACTGCACAGACACAGGTTAGAAAGAAGAATGAAGGGGGGGGTGACTGAGAGTGACAAATCCCAGGCCCAGGGATTCTCTGCTTTCTCCCCCCCCCTCAGTGGGGCCCACAACCTGAGCTCACCTCCCCAGGTGGAGTCTCAGCCAAGATTCACCTTTCTACAAAGCTGGCTAAGGTCAGGGAAGTCTCTAGCCTGAGCAAAGGCATAGATTCTCTTTGAGGCTGGGCTACTATGTCACTGCACAGAGCTGGATGTTACCTGGGGCCTAGATCGGGCCCACCTGCTAGATAACACATCTCCAGGATCTCGTGTCTTTCACCAGCCCTAGGTTCCCATCTTGGCCACCACCCTATAATCCCAGGTTCAAGGCCAGCAGCCACCAGAGAACCCTCAGTGGCCCCAAGGTACACAGCATCCTTGTTCTGTTGCTATCAAAGACCAGAGCCAGGACCAGAGTCAGGTAAAAGGACACGAAAAACTCAATAAACAAGATAAGTAACATTTTGCAGAAATACTTTAAAAATTAAGGCAGAAGATCCAAGATGAATTAACGATTAAACTTTGAAGTAAAGTTTGCACAGGGTCAGCACTGTTGCTTTTCCTTTTGTCCTGGCCCCTCAGTGGCTCAGTGGGGCACCACCTCTCCTGCTGCATCTCCCTCCCAGCCACCATAGAGACCACTGCAGCGGATGACCATAGCCATGAGGGTGTGGTGGCCTCCTCCTCACCTTTGTCCTCCATCTTCTACCAGACTCATCATTGAGGTATCCTCTCTCCTAGTGAGATGGGCCCTGCCAGCTATCCTCATTTCATACATGGGGAAACTGAGGCCCTGAAACCACCATTAGGGAACTGGAAGCCAGATAGTAGTAGGTGAGTGCAGGGATACTTGGGATCTGTCCTGGGCCTAAGCCCAAAGAGCCAGTCTCTGAGGACAGGAAGGTGGCTAAGACACTGGGTGGGGGAAGGGTCCTCCTGAGGGTAGGGCCCATCTGAGTCTACATAGCTGGGAGAAAAGGGGGTTTTCCAGGACTTGGGATTTTGTTCCCAGAGACTCATTGCAGCCCTGTCCCTCCCCACCTCCCAGCACAGCTGGACAAGGGCCAGTCCTCATTTCCAGAGGGGGCCAGGAGGGAGCACAGTACCCGTCAAAAGGGAGTAGGGAGGCAGGGCAAAAAATCCCTTCTGGGCAAACATAATCTTAAGCAGATCAAAATTTCAGACAGCCCAGCTAGTTCCTCAACTCGCAAAGAGGGACCCAGAGAATGAAGTCCCTGGTGCTGTATATGCAGTCCCCTCTGTGGGTCTGATAACCACATCCTGACCATCGTGTGTGGCTGAACTAGTTGCTGGGCCATGGCCTACCAGAATGGGTGAGGCACAATGGCCCCCCTTCTCTGTGAGCCAAGCCTGGAGTACACCCCACATTGACTACCCCTAGGTTCCCCCCAACATCTGGGTGAGGCTCAGCCAGGAGCCAGGACTCACTGAGAATGCCCCTCCCCCAAGACAGCCACAGCATTGCGTTTTTTGGACCTGAGAAGAGTGGACAGGATAATTTGCCAGGGAGCCTGGGGCCTGGGGCCAGGAAGGCGTGCAGGCAACGATGTACTTGAACACACACGTGTAGGCGCGAGCATAATGGGCAGGTGCCAGCACACACAACAGCCACAGTGATCTTTCCAAACCATAAATCTGATCAGATAACCCCTTCCCAATGTGCATGACCCAGGCCAGAACTTCCCAAGGCCGGACAGTCTGGCCTGGAAAGGCACACTGCCCTGCCCCCACATTGGGCTTGTGCCCCTGCTCCCGGGATTCTCTCTCCCTGCCACATTCAAAACCCCAGGACCTCATCATCCTCTTTCCTAGGCTCATCCTTCATTCTGAGCTCCCCCACAACTCAATTCATAATCCACACGAGTAGCTTTAGACTGAAGCCCACTGTCCCCTAGGACATAAGCCCTGTAATGTAGCCACCAGGGCTCTGCTGCGTGGATCTCTGAATACATGGAGGTGTCGGATACATGCTTGTAGATGGGTGAGTAAATGAATCAACACACACTGCCCCGTCCAAACCTTTTCTTTTGCTCTCCCCATCCTGTGACAAAAAGCTCTCCTGTTTCCACCTGATATCTGAAGGGGTTCCCAAGGGCCCTGGAATACAGATAGTTAACACCTGACCCCCTCCTGCCAGCCCCCAGGAGGCTCAGGGAAGGAGGCCAAGGCCTGGATGGCCCCAGACCAGCCTCCAAGCTCTGGCCAGAGAGCAGATTTTCCAGTCTCTGGTTCGGTGGGGCAGCCTGGGAGTAGGACAGGAAGGAACACTGTGGCCAAAACCATCAAACCCACCCCCTTTCTCTACTAGGTCTTTTGTGCCCACCCTACCACCCCCTACCTACTACTGTATGGAGGGAAGTTTCTACACCCCTGAAACCTGAGCCCCTCTACCTCCTAAGCCAGTACCTAGACCCTTCTCTCTAGACCCAAAAGCCCCTTGGGATAGAGCTGCAGTATTCAGCTCCCACCCCCAGTCCCAGCCTGTGCGCCCTTTATGCTGGGTCTCAGCCCAGACACCAAGTGTCTGCCAGGGAAGGCTTGGCTTTGCCTGCAGGAGCAGCTGCTTCCCAGGGTCCTGGGCCAGCTGGGAGGGACCTAACCATCAAGCTGGGAAAGCCTGGGTCCTGCCTGGGGTGGGTTCCAAGCCTGGCTGCCATGAGCAGAGGCCCTCAGCCACTGTGGGGCCTCAGAATGGTCCTCGAGGAAGGAGCTGGGGCCAGGGCCAGGGGAGACTAACAACAGGGAAGGCAGCACCAGGGCTGCTGTGTGTGTGAGTGTGTGCACACGTGTATGTATCTGTGCACTGGGTTAAAGTTATGGAGGGTAATTTAGGAAGATTCTTTTTTTCTTTTGTGATCTTTTAAAAAAAATTATAAATAGTAAGGGGTATAAGTACAGTTTTATTAACATGAACATATTTTTTAGTGGTGATATCTAGACTATTAGTGGAACCATCACCCAAATAATGTACATTGTACCTGCCAGGTTAGAATGATTCTTTTTTTTTTCTTTTTTTGAGACAGAGTCTCAAGCTGTTGCCCTGGGTAGAGTCTCAAGCGGTCGCCCTGTTGCCATGGCATCATAGCTCACAGCAAACTCAAACTCTTGGGCTTAAGCAATTCTCTTGCCTTAGCCACCCAAGCAGCTGGGACTATAGGTGCCCACCACAATGCCCAGCTAATTTTTCTTTTTTTGTCTTTTTCTTTTCTTTTTTTTACAGTTGTCATTGTTGTTTTAGCTGGCCTAGGCTGGGTTCGAACCTGCCAGCCTCAGTGTATGTGGCTGGCGCCCTACCCACTGAGCTATGGGCGCCACCAGAATGATTCTTTTATTTCCCAGAATTTTTTCTATAACTCTATGTAACTTGTAATGCAACCACCACCACCACCCCAGTGACACACAAGCAACTCCTACCTGCTGTAGAAAGTTTGGAAAGTACAGAGAAGCACAGAGAATAAAATAAAAATTCCCAGGAATCTCAACATTAACATTTAGAAGTATTTTCTTCTCTCAAAAATATTCATGTTTTTATGAAAATATATATATATATACACATACATTCTTAGAAATAAAATTGGATCATAATAAACATCGTATTGTATAACCTGATGTTTTAACAGTGTAGGGTGAGCAGACAACACAGAGAAGCCACAGCCCCCAACACCACTCTGGGGCTGGGAAGGCCACTCCAGGCAACTGTCACCCCCGTGCCCACTCACACACTCACTCACACATTCACACTCTCCTACACCGGCAACTCCAGCACAGGAGTCAGTCCATGGGGGCTGGGAGGTGCTCAGAATAAGACTAAAGACGTGACAAAAGGCGTCTCTCAACACTCTTGCTAATGAGTTAAAGGGATGGGGGTTTGGGGGATAGGGCTTCTATCTTGCCACACCCACCTCCAGCACTGACTGGCCCAGTCTTCAGGGGCTCCAGAGAGGAATCTAGAACTTTGCCACAGAGGCAACTGGAATGCCGGGAATCTCCTCACTGACCCCACATGACTCCACATGGGATAGTGTGTCCTTAGTCCCCACCAACCACCCCCTGGCCCTAGAGGGGCTCAGGCTGGGAGAAGAGTCTGCTGGAGCCGGGCGGGTGGCCCTGGCCATACTTACAAAGAAGAGCAAGTTGAAGAGGAAGAGAAAGTATTTGGTGACTTTGATGCAGGCTGACCCCATCCTGCTGGTCCTGGAGCTCCCTGGGGAGGAAAGAGAAGGCAGGCAGGTCAGTGAGGGGGGAAGCAATGCTGGTGGTGACTGGGACTCCTGGCCCCAGATCATCTCCAGTCACCCTCACAGTATACCCATAAGGTGGGTACAACACGGTCCCTGCTTTACAGAATGACCTGCCAAAAGCCACACAGCTAGGAAGTGTGGTCCTCTGAGCATTCTGGGCCATGGCTGCAAGGAGGGAAATTACATAGGGAAACTCTCACCTTCACCATCCAGGCTCTGAAAGTCTCCCAGACGGAGGTTAGGGATCAACTAATAGAGACCCAGAGGTGAGACCTGTGCTTGTCCCACAGAACTGCAGACTCCCTGTGGGGCTGGGAGCTGGGGGCTCGGGTCACAGAGGCTTTCTCAGAAAATAGGTGAGTGGCCCCATTTCCTACTACGAAGTGGATGAATGTGATGGTAGAACATCAACAAATACAGAAAAACAGAGATCCAGGAAGAATTGAACGTCACCCCGAAGATAAACATCACCATCAGTTTAACAGTTACACTTCCAGTGTATGTGGGTAACAAATGGTTTTAAACAAAATCAGGCCCATCCTGTATATACTGTTTTGAGGCCTGCTTTCTGGATTGTATATTCTATAATATACAATCTCTGAATGCTGATAAAATGTTCTTCTCCCACATAATTTTACACGTTGCCTAGGATTCCATCCTGTTAATCAGTACTTATTAACATTGGGGGGGGGGTCACAGACTCCCCCAGAAAAATTCATGTATGGGTTGTGTTTAGCAAATACATTCTGGGGATTCAGGATTCAGAGTGGGATTCAAAACCCACTCAGGAACTCCAATAACCCCAGTTGAAGTCCCAGATATAGCCATAGCACAGAATATTGAACCAATACTGTAAGATTGGACACATAGGTTGTTTCCAAGTTTTCACCGTCACCCCAGATGACACAAGTTGTGCTTCTGAGATGACACAAATCATGCTTGAGCATGCTGTCCCCTCCACTCCAAAAGATCCCAAGAGGGGGAAGACTCAGGGAGGAAGAGGGAAGCGGGGGGCTGGCTGCCCTCACCCCCTCCCTGAGGCAGACAACTCAGGAATGACAACCACCAGCTCTCAGGCCCTGTGGGGCAAAGGGAGCCAGCACCATGGGCAGCTGGGGCCAAGACAGCTGGCCTAAAGCAGCTGCATGGGCAGAGCTGTGTCAGGGGCGGGGGGTCAGGCAGAAGGCACCAGGCCCAGTTATGTTCTCCTTCCATGGAGGAGGAGGAGCAGGCCTCAGAGCAGAGGAAATGAGGCCCAAGACATGGGCTTCACCCCTCCTCCTCGTGTACCATGTGAAAGGCTGTCCCAAAGTCTTGCAAACTTCCTAGTCTACACGTAGACACACCCCCCCATCCTTTTCTGCTGTGCTAACACTCCAATAGTCTTCTATCATCCTTGCCCAGTGGGACTCAGCTTCCTCTTTACACATCTCCAGTGGTGGGGGAGGTGATTAACAGGGAGGGCTGAGAACCTCCCAAGGGGTCCAGTTCAGTTTTCTGGCAGCTTTGTTACAGAGAGTTTTCTTTAACTGCCTCTCTACAGGGCAGATTTCAGTACCGCATAGAGCAAAGCTGCCCAAAGAAAGAAAAGGCTGCCTGCACATTAGTGAACTCCCCGGCACGGCACGGTGTGAAGAAAGATTTATGAGCAGCACAGCAAGATTAGACTAAATGGCAAGAGCAAGTCTACCAGGGTCCAAAGCCTGGGTCTGGGAATTGAGAACTGCAGGGAGGGTGGTGACTGGGGAGGCAGGGAAGTCCAGCCTCTGCAACACCCCTCTAAGGTCTCCCCCAGACCCAGAGAGGAAAAAAACATGACTTCTCCAAGTCGGAGATCCAAGAGGCCCAAAGCCAGGCCTGGCAGGAGGAAGGCCTGCTGGGGCCGCACTGCCTCAGGAGGGCCATTGTTCCTCCTCTCTGCCTCCCAGCAGAGCGCCTGACATACCACAGGCACCTAAACAAAACAGCAAGAGAAGAGAGATTCTCTCCCAGAGTGAGGCATGTTTTTCTTTCCTACCACAGACCTGCTTTGCTTCAGCCTGGTGGGGTCTCACCTGACACAGGGCAGGCCCCAAAAGACAGGCCCAGCGCCCAGGCAGCAGAGACAGGCTCACTCCATCAGCACAGCCTTATCTGACTGTGGTCAAATAGCCATGCGACGGGCCGTTGGTGTCCCTGTGAAATTGGAGAGTTGTGGAAGGAGCCCTTTGGCAACCCCGCCTCAGACCCATTCTATGCACAGTTTCAGCAAGTTCAGGAAAGAGTTCTCTACACTTCCCAGTTCACGTGTCCTCCAGTCAGGATGGGGCTGCAGGGCAGCCTCACACAGGTAGGGTGTTCAGCGAAGAGCAGGTCTAAGAGAAGAGTAAATATGGGGGCTGTGGAGGGAGAAGCCCCTACAATCTGCACGGGCACCCTGGGGGGTGAGTACGCCCATCCTTGGTGAACCTGAGGCTCAGACAGGTCCAGTAACTTGCCCAAGTCACACAGCTCAGAAGTGGCAGTAGGTTCCAGAGTCCAAGTTATTTTCACTGTGAAACGCTCCATTCTGGACAGCAGACAAGACCAAAAAGGGATCTCTGGGGCTGACCTGAATTCCTCTGTCCAGATAGGCATGAGGGCAAAATGAGATGCTCACAGGTGCTCTGGTTTGGTGGGTAAGAGGCTGGAATGTATTGCCAAGGCCCCTGTGTAAGGCAGACGCAGCTGGGCAGGTATTCCCCTGATGTTCCAGACCCTGGGTAACCTGGCGGCTCCCTTGGCCACTCACACAGTTGTATCAAGCACTGGGCTAAGCCTTTTGGCACCCTCTGAGCCAATGGAGGCACAGAGGAGTGAAGGAATATGCCAAGGTCACCAATAGATGGACCAGCAAGGACTGGGCACAGACTGCTTGGCCCTCTAAACCACTTGTTCACCCATCCACTCCATCTCACCTAGGAGGCAGCTGGGTGGGTTCAGATACTGAGGCACCTTGACTGTCAGGCAGCACAGCCAATCAGGAAGGACCCAGAAGCTATCTGGGCATTGCCTGGGGGAGAAAATGATGTCTGGAACTGGAACCTGGTGTGGGCAGCTTGAGGGCATAGTGGCCAAAATACAGAATACAAGGTCTTTCTGCCCTGTGAGTATAGAAATTTCCACTTCACAGTCACAGTGGGGGTGAAGAACATTCTTTACGCTTGGCAGGAGGTTGGCTCAGCTTAGGCTGGGAACACATCCAGGGGACCCCATGACAGGGTGTGGCGTCAACTTCATGGAACCTCACAACCTCCACTAAACCCCAAGAAGACCCCAAACCTGGATTCAGAGGGGCTAGGTTTTATCTGGCTCCCATGCGGAGGTCTGAACCTTACCATCTCAATCACGAGCTAGAAACAAGGGTTGGTGTGGGCCAGGGGCCATGTAGCTGCAGCACATGGGCCAAATCCTGGCCCCCTGACTATTTTTTAAGAGCTAAGAACAGATTTCCCCTTTTTAAATAGATAGGAAAAAGTAAAAAGATAGGGTAATGCATAAAAGTGACATGGAACTCAAATTTCTGTGTCCATAGGTAAAGTTGTATGAGCACACAGCCATGCCCACTAGCTGAAAACGTTTACTATCTGGTTCTTTTTTTTTTTTTTTTT